TGACTACAACAACAGCCCCTTCCACATCTCCCAGTGCTTTGTGCTTAAACTCAGCGACCTGCAGTCAGTCAACGTTGGCCTTTTTGACCAGTACTTCCGTCTGACCGGTAAGCGACCCACTGTGCTTTTGTCCCATTTTAGATGAAGGATAGTGTCACCATTGGGCTTCCACCTTCCGTCTGTGGGTGCATTATTGTAGACAGCGTTATCTCTCTGCTTACAAGCCAGCTAACCAGGCGGGGGGAAGCAGCTCCAGGAACTGCTGAGATTGCAGGACTCATGCCCCAGGGAGGTGGGAGGTGGGATGTGCAGCGAGCACCAGCCCGGACACAAGCAGAGCGGGCCCTGGGCTCAGGCAGGATGTGTCTGACTCATACTTCCTGAAGAGAGAAAACTAAGCTCTTTCCCTCATGCCTCTCTGTATCCCCTTCCAGAAAAATGTCTCAGCCCTTCCTGCCTGATAAATGGCTGCCTCCCCAGGTCCCATGATGCTTTCCTTAGGTTCCCCACAGCCTTGGCTTTCTGGGACAGAGACCTGGCAGGTGAAGTGGCTTGTGGCCCTGACCAGCCCCATCTTGTGTAGGCTCCTCCCCGACACAGGTGGTCACGTGTTTGACGCGGGACAGCTACCTGACGCACTGCTTCCTGCAGCACCTCATGTTGGTGCTCTCCTCTCTGGAGCGCACACCTTCACCAGAGCCTGTTGACAAGGACTTCTACTCGGAGTTTGGGAACAAGACTACAGGTACCCTGTCCAGCGCAGCTTGTAGACCTGTCCCAGGGTGGACATCAAAAGCCCCAGAGTGCCTCCCAGTACCCCAGAGTCCTCCCTGCCTCTCTCATTTTTCTCATCCCTCTTAGCTGGCCAGGTTTTTCTGTGGGGCATTGCCACTGCAGAGCTTCCATCCCGGATATCCCTCAATCCCTTTGGTGTCAGCCCTGGGCTGCTGGCTTGGGGCACCCTTGCCTGCCTGTCTCACACAGGGTCTCTGGCTGGCTTGGGGCCCCTGGTGCTTTTAGATCCTCCACAGGTCAGTTCAGGCCATAGCCTTGGTGACATATTTCTCTACAGGGAAGATGGAGAACTACGAGCTGATCCACTCAAGCCGCGTCAAGTTTACCTACCCCAGTGAGGAGGAGGTTGGGGACCTCACATACACTGTGGCCCAGAAGACGGCTGACCCAGAGAAGGCCCCAGGCCTCAGCATCCTGCTGTATATACAGGCCTTCCAGGTGGGCGCGCCACCACCTGGGCGCTGCAGGGGCCCGCTGCGCCCCAAGACACTTCTGCTTACCAGTGCCGAGATCTTTCTCCTAGATGAAGACTATGTCCACTACCCACTGCCTGAGTTTGCCAAAGAGCCACCCCAGAGGGACAGGTACCGGCTAGACGATGGCCGTCGTGTCCGGGACCTGGATCGCGTGCTCATGGGTTACCAGCCCTACCCGCAGGCCCTCACTCTCGTCTTTGACGATGTGCAAGGCCATGACCTTATGGGCAGCGTCACCCTGGACCATTTTGGGGAGATTCCAGGTAGCCCTGCCAGGGCTGGCCAGGGTCGTGAGGTCCAGTGGCAGGTGTTTGTCCCCAGTGCCGAGAGCAGAGAGAAGCTCATCTCATTGTTGGCCCGCCAATGGGAAGCCCTGTGTGGCCGGGAGCTTCCCGTTGAGCTCACTGGCTAGCCCAGGCTGCACCCAGCCTTGCACCTGCCCTGTCCAGCCTGGTGCCTGCTCCAGGCAGGGAAGCAGGCTTTCTTTGTTCTTTTAAAAATGTTCTTTCCCCTCCCTTTTGGTACCTTAATTTGACTGTCCCCACAGAGAATGTGGACAGGTGTTCAGTCAGTTCTTTCTGATGCTGGGAGCAAGAAAGCCAGGCCCCTCAAGGTGTCTGTGTACCTTCAGCCTCCCATGGCGCCTCGCCTGCCCTGGAGTGGTGTGGTCGGGCGCCTCAGCATCTTGTCTGTTACTGTGGTGCCGTTGCTAACCTGTGGCGCTGTGGATCTGATTGGCCCTCCGCGTCCTTCCCCAAAGTGTCAAGTCCAGTCCTATGTTGTTGCTGCTGCTGTCGTTGTGGGCATTTTGCTGCTAATTGTGAAGCTGGCAGCAGAGTGCACATGAGAAGCCCCCTCCCCAGGCAGTTTTTCAAAGTAGAGGCCTCCCCTGGTCCAGACAAGTAGGGGAGCCTTCTGGGGGAAGGAGTCCCCCAGGCCTTGGGGCTGAGAGGGGTGGGGGCAAGGGACCTAAAGCTGCCAGCACCAAGTGTGATTCCTGTTGCCTATTTTCTCTATTCCAATAAAGCAGAGTTTGACACAGTCTGGGTCTTTTGGGTTAAGTATCACCGGGGCCCCAATGAGGTCACCCAGAGCGCGGTCGGCATGGGAAAGGGTGCTCTGGAGATTTGGGTGGACAAGATCTGGGGGAAGGAGAATAGAGTAGGCCTCCAGGGGCCAGATATGTGTTAGAGACAGGAGAGCTATGAGGGGGACCTCTCGGGACACAGCCATGTTGGACTGTGGCTAAACCAGAATCCCAGAGCAAATGAGAAGAGTCCACAACATTCCCCAGGGCACCCGAATCACAGCAGCCCAATGTGAAGGTAAGACCCAGAGTCCATGATTACTGGTATGTGTGGGTCTGTATTCTCACCAAGATGGCCCTTGGAGGTGAACCCAGGTGATGGCAGTGGAGAGCAAGGTCACCTGCCTGTCACTGTGTTCCTGTCAGAGAGTTGGAGGTTGCCTTAGGGAGCCTTGCTAGGTAGGACCTGAAATTTTTTGAGAGCTAAACCCTGTGCCCTACCCTTCCTCTGCCCCAATCCTGCCACCAGTGATGGTCCCTTGCTCCTCACTAACCTCTTACCTAGCCCAGTCAGGAGCCTCAAGCCCTGGGACCACTGGGATTATGGAGAGGTAGGGTGTGGCCCATCTGGCTACAAGGCCTGCTCTTATCCCCCTTTTCCCCTTGACGCCAACAGAGTAGGGATCCTGGCCTGGGTTTGTGGGGGTAGGTAAAGGGTGGAAGTAGTCACCCAGGGAAGGATCTCCCCACCCTCAGTGCCCCCCAAGCCAAACTCAAAGGCTAGCCTCGTGGCCCTCCAAGCTAGGAGGAGGAGGGCAAGTCACCAGCTCCCCATCCAGGTCTTTACCAAAGGCATTTAAAAATGGCAACCTGGTTCTGTGGTCATCTCTTGCCTCTTCATCTCCATAACACCCTCTAAAATTGGAGTAGTGACAACCCAAAGCAGAGATTACCACATCCAGTGCTGAATAGGGGTCCCCACCATGGGTCACTAAAGATAAATCTGAAAGAGATAAACTGAGCTACCCTGGATGAGCTAGCTACCTGGCCCCTCTTAGCTTCAGTTTCCCTACCAGTGACAGGGCAAATAACAATAACCACCCACATTCGTTGATTCATGCCGCACACCTGTCCCCAGGTGGCATGGCTTATTTACACCCTCCCATCGCCCTCCCTAATCTCCCAAAGCCGACATTCTGGGAGGGTGATAAATAAGCCATGCCAGCTGGGGACCATTTCGAGAGGAGGTGGAATCAGGTGTAAGGCCACCCCATCAGCGGGCTCGGGGAAGCCCTCCAAGCCATGTTAAAAGGAAAAACCTGGGCCAAGTGTAGCTCAGCGGTACACACGAGGTCCTGGGTTCAATCCCAGCAACACACACGTGGAAAAAACCTTAGGTAAATTAAATTTAGCCGTTTATTTGAACAAATAAAACAATTCTTGAATTGGACAGCTTTCAGAACCACAACAGATTCTAACTCCTGCCAACTCTGAGGCAGCATTTACAGAAAACAGAAGTGAGGTATAGAGCCAGGAGCGGTGGCACACGCCTATAACCCCAGTGGCTCGGGAGGCTGAGGCAATTCAATGAGACCCTGTCTCTAAATAAAATATTAAAAAGGGCTGGGGATGTGGTTCAGTGGTTAGGCACCCTTGGGTTCAATCCCCAGTACAAAATAAAAAAAAAGGTATAGAGACAATTATTTTTTAATTTATTTTTTAGTTGTAGGTGGACACAATACCTTTATTTTATTTTTATGTGGTGCTGAGGATCAAACACAGTGCCTCACACATGCTACGTGAGCGTTCTACCTCTGAGCCACGACCCCAGCTCCTAGAGACTATTTAAATAGTTACAACTAAACTGGGTAACTAAAGCCATCTGAACTCCATCTTGATCTGGTCTGGTCTGGTGGGTCTCAAGCAGGAGCTCAACCCAAACCAGTGGCTATCTACACATTTTAGCACCTTTGACCTGAGATTGCACCTATGGTAAAGGACCAGCATGTGACCGTCAGCGTGGTAACTGGAGCAGAGTGAATGGGGGACGGTAGATGCAGCAGGAAGCAGGAAAGGCCCGACGGGCACTGAGTGGGGGTCAGTTGTCAGTGTGGTAAGGGGAGAGCATGGAGGGTTTAGGGTCAGGAGTGGTGCAGGCTGGACCGTCAGGACTGGCTGGTGGAGTGGCTGAGACTGTTGGGATGAGGATTTGCGAGGCCACCCCATGGCATCTGTGCCACCCGTGGGATGGTGCCTGGCAGGGAGTCCCAGTCTGGCAGTTGGAAGGGTCAAGGCAGGGGCAGACGCAGTTCCCTACCCCTCAGCAACCAGAATCCCAGAGACTAAATAAAAAGTGCTGGGCTGGCCAGATGAGTGGGTGTCGTTACATTTGCATTTGAATTTGCTTCAGAATCTGATAGAGCCTAAGCCCATGGTTAAAGGTGGGTTTGGGCTTCCAGGCCAAGAGGGTCTTGGGCCCGGAATCTGTGAACAGGTTCCAGGCTGTTCATGCCGGGGTCAGTGGCCCGCGCCTTCCCTTCCGCCTGCTGGCTGCTGATACACAAGAGGAAATCCTGGAGGGTTCCTGTGGGGGACTGCATTTAAGAACACGGCCCGCCCCATCCCGCCTGCCCGCCCCTTGGAGCTCATTCCCTTTCTGTGACTTCTGTCCTGGACGTTGTGCTTGCCAGCCACCGCCAGTCATGGCGGAGCCCCGGGGTCTCCTCTTGCTCTGTGTCCTGGTCTCCTGCCTGGCAAACTCCAGCTTCATCAGGGGCCAGAAGGTGAGTGTGAGCCAGTTTGCAGGGGCTCATGGTATCCAGACCCTGCCAGCCAGCTGTGGGATGGTGGGGCATGGGCTGGGGTATAGACACAACCCGTTCTTGGCTGGCCTGTGTAAGCCCAGGTAGCCAGGCCCATATGCCTACTTAGTGTCACCTGGGCTGCAGAGGTACATTAGCCTGCCCTCTGTGCCTGACCAGCCAGCCATTTGTGGGCAGCTGTCCTAGCCTGTGAGTGAGGGGAGGCAGAGCCAACCCATCTGCCTTCCCGCCCCACCCATACTGAGGCCCGAATTTCTGTGTGGCCATCACCTGGGGATGGGAGATGTGATCATTGCTGACCCCTGTGGGACCTGCAGACTGAGAGACCCATGGAACATGTGTGCATATGTGTGTGACTGTCCAGCTCTAAGACTGCCCAGGGACAGAAGCTCTGGGTAAATGCAGCCAATGAGAATGTTTTCAAGCTTCCAAGTTGCCACCAGTCTGTCCTGGGCATAACCCCTCATGTCCTCACAACCTCTGGGCAGAGCGTCCTTTTGTGCTCCTAGATGGATATTGGACACCAAGGCCCGTGGATGATAGAGATGGACCATTCCCACTCTGGAGTCCTGCTCCACACCATACCTGCTGTTTGCTGTCTGGGCATGCTGGTGTGAGCTCTAGCATGGCTCCTCTGGTCCATGAGGCCAATCACGGCCCCAATGTCTATCCACAGATCCCCCCAGGGCCCATGCTAGGGACATGGCTCCTGCTCAGGCTTCAGGAGGAGCCTCACACCCTGGGTATGGAGATAGAGTCCCCTGCCTGGTATCTGCTGCCAGGTGAGGGGACTTCCCTTATGAAGCCAACTCCCACCTGTTTCTTGGAGTAGCTGTCACTGTCCCTCTGGCATCAAGAGGCAGGCTGAGGTTGAGAGAGGAGAAGGCTTGCCCATGACCCACCTTCAGGTAGCCCAGCACAGGGACCCACGTGAGATGGTGACAGAAGTCAGTGAGAGGTCTTAGATTGGAGTTTATTCCTTGTTGGAGACCTGTAGCTCTGAGAACCTCTAAATCTGCTATTTGGGGACTGGGACTTAGCCAGACTGGGCCAGGAAACAGGGGTCAGGGTCCCCTGTCACCAGCAGGTTCTCTTTTTTTTTTAATACCAGGGATTGAACCCAGGGGCTTAACCACTGAGTAACACGTTCTCCCAAATTTGCATAGGCCCTTGCTAAATTGTTGAGTTTGGCTTTGAACTTGCAATTCTTCTTCCTCAGCCTCCCAAGCTGCTGGGATTACAAGCGTGCACCACTATGCCTGGTCTTGTGTTCAGAGCCAGGCCAGGGATAGTACAGGTGATGCAAGGCTAAGAAAGTAAGAGTGATAGTGGAAAAGCCAAGGGTTCCAGGACTGTGCTGAGTTCTGCTGGCAAGTTCCTGCCCGTCCCCTGCCTCAGTTTCCCCATGTGTACCATGCAAAGGAATCTCATAGGATGCCATCTCCTCATATTCCAGGAGATGGTGACCAAAGTCAGTGAGAGGTCTTGGATTGGAGTTTGTTCCTTGTCAGAGACCTATAGCTCTGAGCATCCCTAAGTCTGCAATTTGGGGATAGGGACTCAGCCAGCCTGTGCCGGAAAAGAGGGCTCAGGGCTCTTGCAAATAGAGATGTGGCAATGGGGGCCTTATTTCATAGCCACTCAGGCTGCCTGGCTCCTTATAGTAGCATGAGACCCACTATAACTATTAGAAACGGAGGGTCTGAGGGGAATGGACATCCCCTGGGTCACATGGCCAGTAAGAGGTAGCAGCATGACAAGTTCCAACAGCAGCAGAAACAGGGAAGGCTTCCTGCGGAAGCAGTCTTAGCAACCTAGCAGTCTTCTGCCTCCTTGGTGTTGGGCATGAGCCTGTGGCCTTAAGCCAGGGTTCGCAGGGAGAGGAGCATTGGCCAGGACCCAGCTCTGTCCCTCCCTGCTTGGATCTAGGGTTGGGGGAAGCAGTGTGGGGGCCCCTCCCTCTCTGAAGGGATTTGAGTTCTGGGATGTCAGCCCCAGCCCAGTCCCAGCTTGGGAAATTTCTTCCACCTTTTCACCACAGGGCTTAAAATGTCCTGTCTCCTGAGCTTCCCCCAAAAGTGTCTCTGTGGGAAGCAGACATTGCCAACTCAGCTCCAGCTGGGCATGCGGCAGTGGGGGAGGGGGGAGGCAGCGCTCTGGCTATGTTGGGTCCCCAAAGTGCCCCAGAAAGAAGGGAATCTGATTCAGCACCCAGGCTGTGATCCAGCCTCACTCCACCAGTGGCAGATTGTGAGGCTCCAGCTGTTGATGCTGTTTACAGGCGACTGGGCAGACGCTTGGCCCTGAGCGCTGGCCTTGGGTGTGGTCCCTGGAGAGGAGCTCATCTGGCAGCTGGCTTATCTAGCCATCACCACTTCACACACACTAACAAAGCTCCTGCTTCCTCCCAAGTCCCTCGCCCACCGCTTCCCCCAGCTCTGACTTTGCGACATCAAGACCAAGTTGGTAGAGCACACATCCAGGAGAATGAGGACGGCACTCTTGGTCACCCGGGCCTGCCTAATGTGCCTCCCAGTGCTGGTCCCCCAGCCACAGTGGTGATCAGGCTGGCAGGTCTGGCCAGGTGGCTTTGAGGGGTGCCTTTGCCAAGCCAGCAGCTGCCCAGTCCTTGAATTACCCAATTTCCTAGGCATTCCTTGGCTCAGCAAAGATGAGCGTCAGGTTGGGAGATGAGACCACAACATCCCAACCCTGTGGCCGGACACTGAGGCTGCTCTGAGTAACTTCCCTCTTTGTAGACCACAGAGGCATGAGCGGAAAAGGCCAAATCACAGTGTCAAAGAGGCCTTGGACCCCCACCCCCCCAGTCTCTCTAGAAAAAAGTGTGAGCACTATTTCTCCTTTTCTCTTAGGTCATACTTCTCTAATGTGGGTTTGGGGTTTTTGTTGTTGTTTTGTTTTGTTGGCACCAGGGAATTGAACTCAGAGGCACTCAACCACTGAGCCACATCCTCAGCCCTATTTTGTATTTTATTTAGAGACAGGGTCTCGCTGAGTTGCTTAGTACCTCACCATTGCTTAAGCTGGCTTTGAACTCAAGATCCTCCTGCCTCAGCCTCCCAAGCTGATAGGAATACAGGTGTGGGCCACAGCGCCTATCTGTAATGTGTTTTAAGAAAGGAGTATTCTGAGCTCTTCTCTTTTAGATCACAGTGTGCTCAGATCTAATTTTTCTTTTTTTTCTTTATGTCTGTATTTATTTTTTGGTACTGGGAACTGAACCCAGAGGTGCTTTACCACTGAGCTACACCTCTAGCCCTTTTTATTTTTCATTTTGAGACAGGGTCTTACCAAGTTGCTGAGGCTGGCCTCCAACTTGTGACTCTCCTGCCTCAGCCTCCTGAGTCCCAGGTATTATCACGCCCAATGAGCTCAGTGGTTTTCAAAATGAACACATCTCGGTTTTTCCAGGTAGTGCCCCAAGCCCTCAATCCCACCCCCATCAAAACACACCTTCCCTCTGCCCCTTTCTCTCACTGAGAACCATGAGCTTAGCTGCTGCCTTCCTGGGCACAACACTGTCGCTTACTGGCATTTTGTCCTTGTAAAGGTAGCCACCCTGGTGATGGACTTGGAAGAGTTGCAGCAGGTGAATGGGGCTTCAGGGCAGGACCCTTCCGGCTCCCTATCCCACTGTCCCCACCTCAGGTGATCTTGGAGTGACCTCTCTGCCCCACCCTCCCTTGCTCTCTTCTCCATGCAGTCCTGATTCTCACCCTGTCCCCGGTTGACTCTGGGCAAGAGCTGAAACCACGGCCTCCCGTTTCCTCCCTTGAAATGGACTGAGGTAGAACAAAATAGAAAATATTCTTGTTCTGGAAGGTGCAGACTCAGAGGCTTCCAGGCTGTGGACGCAGGGACATGCTATGACCTTAACAACTCACGACAAGGTTTCCTAGGAATTTCCCTGTCCTCACTGCATTCCTGCTAAACCAATGTGAAACTTAGTCGTGGAGGAGCATCCAGCCTTGCCACCATCAGGACTGGGTACAAGATCCAGGCCCCTAACTCCATACTCTGCCCATGGCCCAGGTGCAGTTCAAACGCTGCGACATCAAGACCAAGTTGGTAGAGCACACACCCTGCACCACATGTACTGCCATCCAGAAGCAGGTGTGTCCCTCGGGCTGGCCTCGGCGTTCCCCAGAGAAGATCTCTCAGGACTGCCGGTAAACACCTCCCCTGTCTGTTCCCACTTCGACAGCAGCCTGTGGGGTAGCATAGGGCCAGGCCTGCAGGATAAGAGCAAGGACTGGCTTATCCATGCATCTCTTGTGCCCTGGAGACGGGTGGGGAGGAAGAGAGGGGGCAAGAGGTGTTTATTGAGCATCTACTGTGTGCCCAGCCCTGTGCTCAGCTCTGCTCTAGGTAGAGGCAGGAAAGGCAGGGCGAGAGCCCTGGTAACAGTCTGGGGTGGCTGGGGCTGCAGGCAGGAGCCCCCTCCCAACACCCTGCCCGCCCTGTCTGCAGCTACGAGATAAAGCTAGGGGACACTCTGATGTCCAAGAGCGGCTGCAGCCTGGAATGCTGGAAAGAAGTGGAGCAGAAAGCCTGCTGCCCTGGTTACTGGGGGTCCCAGTGCTATGGTACGGGCAAGAGTGGGGGGCTGCTTTCTGTCCCCAACCTAGCCCCAGTCCTGTGCTCCCTTACAACTTGACCATTTAGTGACTACTTACCTAAAGCTCCCCGGGGGACCCCCAGCCCTGGCTGTCCTGGGGGAGGGAAGGAGTCTGAGGCTGGCATTAGGAGTAAATGGAGAGTTCCTGGGGTGGAACTGAGTCTGGGGGGTCCACAGAGTGCCCTGGGGGAGCTGAGACACCATGCAATGGCCACGGGACCTGCCTGGATGGCATGGCCAGGAATGGGACCTGCGTGTGTCAGGTAAGAGCTGGCCAGGGTTGGGTTGGAGGCTTGGAGGGGCCACTCTGACTTGGCGCGTCCCCCAGGAAAACTTCAGTGGCTCAGCCTGCCAGGAGTGCCGAGATCCCCACCGGTTCGGGCCAGACTGCCAATCAGGTGAGGCTTGCAGGACCAGAATCTATCTGAGGGCCCACAGAGAGCCGTTCCGACAGCCAGCCCCCACCTGTCTGTCCAGCCTCCCTCCTAGCCCCTCAGCCCCATCATAACCCACCAGGGATGCATATCTTGCTCACTCCCCCAGGTCCTTGCACACGCTGGTCTCTTTAGACACCTCCTCCAGGAAGCCCTCCCTGAATCCCCAGGCTGGGCCAAGTGCCTTCTCTGGGCTCCCACCAACCCTGTGGCTCTGCATACAGCTCCATACTCTTGAGGTTATACCTACCAGAGCCCAGTTCTTTTTCTTTTTTGGGGGGGTGGGGGTGGGAACCAGGGATTGAACCCAGGGGCATTTAACCATTGAGCCCCATCCCCCACCCTTTTTATATTTTATTTAGAGACAAGGTCTCGCTGAGTTGCTTAGCGCCTCACTAAGTTGCTGAGGCTGGCTTTGAACTTGTGGTCCTCCTGCCTCAGCCTCCTGAGTCGCTTACAAGGGTGCACCACCACACCTGGCTCAGAGCCCAGTTCTAAGCATAGAGAGGGCAGGAACCCCATATCCTTGGTGAGGCTGAGGTCTCACCTGTCCCTGTGGGTCCCACAGTATGCAGCTGTGTGCACGGCGTGTGCAAAAGTGGGCCGCTAGGGGATGGGAGCTGCCTGTGCTTTGCTGGATACACCGGCCCCCGCTGTGACCAAGGTAAGCAGAGCTGCCCGAGCAGCCTGGGACAGTGGCTCTCTATGGGTACAGCACGGGAATTGGCTGGCTGTGAGAGGAAGTCTGAGCCTCAGCCTGATTGGGACAGGACTTGTCCCCCAGGACCTCTGCTGCTGGAGGCCCAGAGAGGGCAGAGTCCTGCTCAGAGTCACACAGCAAGTTAGGCAGAGTGCCTTGGTTCCTATGTTCCTCCTCAACCCAGGATCTCAGGGCCATCACAGTGCTCTCTCCTCTCTGCTCAGAGCTACGCATCTGCCAAGCCCTGAGCTGCCCCCAGCATACCCAGTGCTCTGCAGAGGACCCCACCTGCAAGTGCCTGCCCGGCTACACCCAGCAAGGCAGTGTATGCCTAGGTGAGCAACTGACTTGGGGTTAAGGACTCTGGCTCAGGGAGGGCAGGGCCAGGAAGAGCATCCTTTTCTTATCAAGCAAAATCTGGATAATGGGCTAGGGGTGTGGCTCAGTGGCAGAGCACTTGCCTAGCATGTGTGAGGCGTTGAGTTCGATCCTCAGCACTATATAGAAATGAATAAAGGTACATCAACAACTAAAAACAATATTAAAAAAAATAGCTAAAAGAAAAAAAATCTGGCCAATTACAGGGAGGGAGAACTATCCCCAGGGTGGGCAGGGGGCTTATCCTCAAGACCTAGACAGGGCTCCTGGGTGCTCAAATCACTTGGCCTCTTTCTGCCCTGGCAGCTCCCAACCCCTGCCAGCCATCACCCTGTTCCCCGCTGGCCCGATGCTCAGTAAGTCCCAACGGGAAGGCTCAGTGTCACTGCCCTGAGAACTACCATGGCGACGGGAAGGTGTGTCTGCCCCAGGACCCTTGCACCATTGACTATGGTGGCTGCCCCAGCAACTCTACTTTGTGTCTGTATCAGAGGCCAGGCAAGGTGAGCCGGAGCCCAGGCTGAGCCTGCCCCACAATCCACCTACCCACTCTGGATCCAGGACCCTGGGCAAATCACAGGCCCTCTGAAAACCCAAGTGACTCATTTGTAAAGTAGAGAGAGGAGGACAGCCCTATCTATTCTCAGAGGGTGGATACGGGCCCGTGGATACGGACTGTCCAAGGGAGGCACAGGCTAGCACTTCTCCCAGATTCTCACCCATGAATGTAACGCTCCCCTCCTGCCTCTGCCATTGGCCAGGCCACCTGCTCATGTCAACCAGGCCTGATCAGCATCAACAACAATGCCTCTATGGGCTGCTTTGCTGTCTGCTACCCCTACTCCTGTGACCTGTCAGCCACCTGCCAGTTGACCCCTGAAGGGAAGACCAGGTGGGCACAGGAGCCTCAGGGGGGCATGGGAGCAGAGCAGAGAGGGCCGGCTGGACAGGACCACCCTCAACCCAGGGGCCTTGAAAGAGGGGTGCATGAGGACCAGGAGGGGGAACTAGCCCAGCCCCACCCTGACTGGCTGTCCTTGGGCTTCCAGATGTGTGTGCAAGGAAGATGAGGTGGGGGACGGGCATGCCTGCTATGGACACTTGCTTTCCGAGGTGCAGAAGGCCAGGCAGATAGGCCTGTTGGTCGTGCAGCTAAGAGTTGCCATCAGCATGTTTGGTGCGTGTCCCCAAGACCTGTCCATGACCCTGCCCCTCCTGCCAACAGAACTGGCAGGGAGGACATGCTGGTCTCTACATAGGTTTTATTTATTTATTTATTTATTTTTGGTACCAGGGATTGAACCCAGGGGTGCTTAACCACTGAGCCATATCCCCAGCCGTTTTTATATTTTATTTAGAGACAGGGTCTCACTGAGTTGTTAAGGCTGGCTTTGAACCTGCGATCCTCCTGCCTCAGCTTCCTGAGCCACTGGATGACAGGCGTGCGCCACCGTGCCTGGCTCTACATCGATTTTAGTTTCTCGGCCCAAGAGCTGTAGAAGCCAAGAATGGGCTCTTGGGTGCCTGATGGGGCTGGGGGAGCTGGCCCCCAGTCCTGATGGCCCATCTACCCCACGCCTAGACCCAATGCCCACCCCAACTCTCCAACCTGAGATGCCTGAGATCTTCCCACTCCCAGATCTATTCTGATGTTCTCTTTCCTGATCCGCCAGAGCAAGGCTGCCAGGAGATCCTTACCTCGTCAGGACCCTTCACTGTGCTCGTGCCATCCATCATCTTCTCCAGATTCTTCACCACCAAGACCATGAGCGTGAGTCCTCTCTACTGCAGAGCTAGCCACGGGTCCTTGCCTGCCCCCCCACCTGAAGCTGCCCCCATTTCAGGCCCCTGAGAGAGTCCTGTGTGCACACACTGGGGAACTGAGGCATCTCTCCTCCCCCACTGCTTGGGCAGGGAGTGGTGTGAAGAGGGTTGGCCTTCTCTGGGGTCACTGGACGCCCCACCCCTTTGTACCTGCAGCCATTGCTGGCCCAGAAGCTCTGCAGACAGTACATTATCCCCGGGCAGCACATGCTAGAGGACTTGGGTCTCCAGAGCACACACACGTGGTGGACACTGGCCGGGAAGGAGATAACTGTTACTAACAACCGCCGGGTAAGCGTAAGACCTATGCCAGGGGACCAGAGGAGTCCCAGATAAAAGATTCAGCCCAGGCAAAAGTTGTTCAGGTGAGCTGGGCACAGTAGCATATACCTGTAATCCCAGCAGCTCAAGAGGCTAAGGCAGGAGGATCTCAAGTTTGAGGCCAGCTGGCCCTGAACAATTTAGCGAGACCCTGTCTCTAAATAAAAAATAAAAAGGGGTACTGGGGTGGTGGCTCAGTGGTACAGTGCTTGTCTAGCATGTGTGAGGCACTGGGTTTGATTCTGAGCACCACATACAAATAAATAAAAATAAAGGTCCATCAACAACTAAAAAATATTTTAAAAAATAAAAATAAAAAAGGCAGGTGATGTGGCTCTGTGGTTAAGTACCCCCTGGGTTCTATCCCAAGTACCTAAAAACTAAAAATGGAAAATAAAAATAAAAAGGTGTTGGGGTGGGACAGAGGGCTGCATGTGGAGTCTAGCAGGTATCTGGCGTCTCATCAGAGATACAGCTTCGTATACAAAGACCAGCCCCAGAAGACGTTCAACATCCAAAAGCCCAACTACCTAGCAGCCAACGGTATCTTCCATGTAGTCAGTTACCTGCGGTGGGAGCTCCCACCTGGGATGTCCAGGGACCCCAAGGTAAGCCAACACCCTCTCTTCCCCACCCCATGCTGCTATGTGATCTCCAAGCCCTGCAGGGTTAGGGGCAGCTCTGGGCAGGTGGGATGCACTTCCCCCTCCCTTGGGCTGAAGCAGCCTCACCCTTTTCTAGAGTCCTCATGAAGATTCCTCCCAGCAGAAAACCATTGGCCAGATCCTGGCCTCCACTGAGGTCTTCAGCCGGTTTGAAATCATCCTGGAGGTGAGCTGGGGGAAGGTGTCCTAGCCCATCTAGGTTTCTGGGCCAGGAGAACCTGCCCCATAGTGCTCTGGGGTTTCACACTAGCACGGCCTTTGCCGCCATCCCCTCTGCATCCTGGAGCCTGTCCACTGCCCTCCTGGGGTTCCGTGGCAGCTTGGACCCATCGTCCACATCTTCCATGGACGTGGCCGGAGCACCTTACAGGCTGAGGGCCGCAGGTCTCCTGAGGCAGAGACTGGCCCTTGGACCCCCTGAACTTCCCTCCCCCTTCTGCAGAACTGTGGGCTGCCCTCCATCCTGGATGGGCCCGGGCCCTTCACAGTCTTCGCTCCAAGCAACGAGGCGGTGGATAGCCTGCGCGATGGCCGTCTCATCTACCTCTTCACGGCAGTAAGCTTGGCAGTAAACAGGGGCTGTGGCTATGGGGCCTCCACCCTTCCCACGAGGCCTCCACGAGCCAAATTCCTTCTTCCCTGCCAGGGTCTCTCCAAACTGCAGGAGCTGGTGAGGTACCACATCTACAACCACGGCCAGGTGAGTGGTCCTCCCCTGGAGGACCTTGGCTGGGCCTCCAGGTGGGGAAGGTTGGCTGTCCCTGGGTCATGGTGCCCCCGTCCTCCTGCTCTCCTTCCATCTGGACATCATAGCGCAGAGGAGAGTCTGGAGGCAAAGGGGTAGCTATGTGTCACCTGGGCAAGGTGTGGCCAGGGCTCAGTCTAAAGCCACCTTCTCCTTGTCCTAGATGACAGTAGAAAAACTCATCTCCAAGGGGCGGGTCCTCACCATGGCAAACCAGGTCCTGAATGTGAATATCTCTGAGGAGGTGAGAGCCCCCACGGTCTGGAGAAGTGGTCTGGTGGAGGGCTGGTGGTGATTGTCAGGTCAGCCAGCCCCTAAGACTATGCTGGTGGGGGTTCTGGAGGGAGCAGGAGCCGATTTCTCTCCAGGAGCAGCACTACAGGGCTGGAGGGCTTCCAGGAGGGGTAAGCACGAGGCAGGAATGCTCCATGTGCAGAATGGTGAGGGCTGGGCTGAGGGTGGCATGATGGGTCTGTGCTGCAGGGGCGCATCCTGCTGGGACCTAAGGGAGTCCCTCTGCGGAGAGTGGATGTGCTGGCTTCCAACGGTGTGATCCACATGCTGGAGGGCATCCTGCTGCCCCCAACCATCCTGCCCATTCTGCCCAAGCACTGTGGCGAGGACCAGTACAATATTGTGGCGGTGAGTCCCATACCATAAGCCCAGGCACTAAGACACCTCCCACCCATTCTGCTGCAGTGCATGGCCCAGGGACCATCTTCTGAGGCAGGGGCACTGGCCAGGTGCAGTGACATGTGCCTGTAATACCAGTAGCTCAGGAGGCTGAGGCAGGGGGATCCCAAGTTCAAAGCCAGACTCAGCAATTCAGCAAAGCCCTAAGCAACTCAGACCCTGTCTTAAAAAAAAAAAAAATTTAAAGTGTGGGGAGCGGGGTATGTGGCTCAGTAGTTAAGTCCCCCTGGGTTCAATCCCTGATACAAAAAAGAAAAGAAAGAAATAAAAAACATGAGCTTCGGTGGAGACCAATCATGTCCAAACCATAGCGGGTGCCTGGCATTGCTGGTGCAGCCTGTAGTCCCAGCTGCTTGGGAGGCTGAGGCATGAGGCATGAGAACAGAAGCTGAAGACCAGCCTCTTCAACTTGGTCAGACTGTCTCAAAATATAATTAAAAAGGCCTGGGGATGTGGATCAATGGCAGAGCAGCCCTGGGTTCAAACCCCCAGTACTAAAAATGAAAAGACAAAACAAAACAAAATAGCAGGCACTAAGGCCAAGGGCAGCTCTGAGGCCCAGCTATAGACTCCCAGGGACCCCCCTGTCCTCCCCATATCCAGCCCCCAACAGTCCTACTGCTTCTGCCTTTAAGATGAACATTCTCCGCACCCTCCGTCCCCAGCTTCCCACCATGGAGGCCTGCAGTGGTCTCGGGCTCTATCCCCCTGACTGCCCATTCCTCATTTCCCCCAGCCTCCTGCTCTCCCCAGGATGCTGGACTCTTCCCACCTCGGACTCGTGCCCTCCTCCCGCTGATTGGAGTCCCACCTGACCTCCCGGTGGTTGGCTCTTTCTCATCCCTTGGGTCTCAGCTCAGTGTCATTTTCTCAGGGTATGTTGAATAAATAGATGACACCTGACTCTCTCCCTGCCTTGCCCAGGGCTCCTGTGTGGACTGCCAAGCCCTGAACACCAGCACGTGTCCCCCCAACAGTGTGAAGCTGGTGAGCGTCCCTTGGTCCACCCCTCAGGGATCCCTGACTCTGGATTACCCACCAGGTTCTGCCCCAGGTCACAGTGGATAGAAGGGATTGGGAGACCAGGGAATACTTAGAGGCCCAGGGCTTCCTAGCCTCCCTACCAAGGGATGGGAGTGCTGGGCCCAGGGCTGCCTGGCAGAAGGGGTGGCCCAGGCCCCTCCCTGCTGACTGGCCTTGCCTGGCCCACCCCAGAACATCTTCCCCAAGGAGTGTATCTACATCCACGACCCTATGGGGCTCAATGTGCTCAAGAAGGGCTGTGCCCGGTACTGCAACCAGACTGTCACGGTGAGCCTGGGGTGTGGGTGCTCACCATGGGGACGTGGGGGACGTGGGACCCATGAGCTGGACCAAGTAGATCACCTTCCTCAGGGAGCTGCACCACAGCTCAGTGGTGGCACAGGCGCCACCAAGTCCCCATATTTCTTGCTCTGGAGATGGGACCAGGGACCTGGGCAACAGGGAGGAATGGCTGGGACCTTTTGGGCACTCTCTGTCTCTTACAGAAACTTGGCTGCTGCAAAGGGTTTTTTGGGCCTGACTGCACTCAGTGTCCTGGAGGCTTCTCCAACCCCTGCTACGGCAAAGGCAATGTGAGTCCCTCCCCCGGCCCCAGGCAAGACCAGGGAATGTGTACCCTCCTAAGCTGGCCGTAGCATGCTGGAGCCAAGCCTTCCTCTCTTGAGTTCCCTATATTGGGGCAATGAAAATTATTTGAAGTTTTTTAGAAATCGTTCAGTAAATTTTTCCATCTATTTTCCAAAAGGCTCTTTGTTAGTAGTCTTCAGTGTTCTGTCTTTGCCACTTTGTGACATCAGGGCTTCTTCAGCCCCTGGCGATGGAGAATCACAGGAGTTGAGTGTTTCAAGGTTGAGCATAAAACCTCCAGGGCCAGGTGCCTTTTAAGGGCTACTTGTTTGGCAGCATTGCAGACTTTGAAGGTCCCTCCCAGAGGGAGGTCTTGGGGGCAGAAGGGGCTCAGAGCCAGTCCCAGGAAGTGGGGTGTTAGGCGAGGACAGGTGGAAGTCCCTCTCCCACAGCTGATCCTTGGTGTACCTACCCTCCAGTGCAGTGACGGGATCCAGGGCAATGGGGCCTGCCTCTGTTTCCCTGACTACAAGGGCCTCGCCTGCCACATCTGCTCTAACCCAAACAAGCATGGAGACCAGTGCCAGGAAGGTGAGTGGTCCTGGCCCAGGCCGCCTCCCAGGGAGAAAGAAGATCTGCTCAGAAAGGGGGCTGGTTGATCTCCAGAAGGGAAACAGGGCCCTGAGAGGTGCAATGAAGGTCCAAAGGAATAGAAGAAGATTTGGGAACAGAAATAGATGTCCTCATCTTCACCCATGCCAGGAAGAGCACTGTGGTTTAATGTAAGCAAGCAGGATTTAGGTCAGACACACTGGAGAACTTCCTTATGGTAATATTGGGGCAGAGCAGCTAGAATGGGGTGATTGAAAGGTCAGAATTCCATTCTGCCTGCCCGTGGAGTCAGGAATGATCTCTGGGTTAGTAATACTGAAGTCAACTCCTACTGGTGGCCCAGTCCTCTACCCGCTGCAGAACCGACCCTGGCTCCCAACCAGTGCTGATTCCTGTCTTGGTTCTCTGTTCCCTTCTCCTTCCTGCAGACTGTGGCTGTGTTCATGGTCTTTGTGACAATCGTCCAGGCAGTGGGGGTGTGTGCCAGCATGGCACATGTGCCCCGGGCTTCAGAGGTCGCTTCTGCAATGAGTCGGTGGAGGACTGTGGGCCCACGGGGCTGGCCCAGCACTGCCACCCCAATGCCCGCTGTGTTAGCCAGGAGGGTGTGGCCCGGTGAGGACTCCTGCTTCCTCTCTTCCCCATCTGGAATCTAGTGCATTGGTTTGCTCAGCCTCTAGCCTCTTCTCGAGACTCAAGGAGGCCCCTCCTTCACCCACCTCTAGGTGTGTCTGTCTTGATGGCTTCGAGGGGGACGGCTACTCCTGCACGCGCAGCCACCCCTGCTCCCGCCCTGACCGTGGTGGCTGCTCAGAGAATGTCAGTTTCTATGCACGTGCCTTGAAGTTCTGACCCAGGGGCAAGAGGGGACTCCCTGGACCTCCACCTGTGGCCTCACACCCCTGAGTCACTTATCCATGCCTCTTGCAGGCTGAGTGTGTGCCTGGTGACAAGGGCACCCACCATTGCACGTGCCACAGGGGCTGGAGTGGGGACGGCCGCGTCTGTGTAGCCATTGATGAGTGTGGGCTGGACACTCGAGGTGGCTGCCATGCTGATGCCCTCTGCAGCTACGTGGGCCCTGGGCAGGTGAGGCACAGCAGGGTGGCTAGGGGGACTGGGCTGTCCCCATTGGACTGCAGGGACATCCATTCCAAATTCAAGTTCAAGGTCTGGAACCTCAGGTGCAGAGTGAGATTCTATCTCGAGATAAAAAAGCCTGGGGATGTAGCTCAGTGGTAGGGTGCCCCTGGGTTCAATCCCCAGTACTGGGGATGGGGGGAACTGGATGTGCCACTTTGGAAGCCAGGCCTGGCTGGTCAATCTTGTGTAAGAACGCATGGTATTCCCTGTCCTCCCTATTCCACAGTGGCTTTTGGGCCACCAGTCTATTGGGCCTTGGCGGTGGAACACAGATGAGTATAAATAAGGCCTGAAACACTGAATCCCCTCAGGAGCCTTAAAATACAGAACTGAGCTGGGCGCAGTGGTGCATGCCTATAATCCCAGCAGCTTGGGAGGCTGAGACAGGAGGATTGTGAGTTCAGAGCCAGCCTAAGCAAAAGTGAGGTACCAAGCAACTCAGTGAGACCCTGACTCTAAATAAAATTCAAAATAGGGCTGGGGATGTGGCCTAGTGGTCGAGTGTCCCTGAGTTCAATCCCCGGTACTCCCTACCCCGTAGAAAAGGAGCAGGTTTAGATACTTCCAATTTGCCTCTAAAGACAGTTGAGATCTGGGGTGTCCTACCTGTCACTCACCTGCAGTGTGGATGAGTCCAAGGGACTTGGTATTTAGTGGGAGGGACCAGAACAGCTAATCAGGGTGGCAAGGGATGGCTGGAGATGGGGTTCAAGCTGCCATCCTTGGGGCTGGCATTGGTAGACACCTACCTGCCTGCCCTCTTGCCACAAGCTACCGACCTCAATGACCCTGGCAGGACTCTGAATGCAGAGGGACACTGAATCTCTCCAGATGCTTCCCTCCTGATGCCATCCTGAGAGACAGTCTGGAGTACGAAGCTCCAAACAGGGCTGTGGTCTGGATGGGCCTCCCTGGGGAGCAGCACCTTGCAAGAGCCAGGGAGTTGAGGAGGAAAGAGGTGGGGGGCTCATGACCAGACAAAGCCTTTGCTCCCTGATCTCCCCAGAGCCGATGCACCTGCAAGCTGGGCTTCGCCGGGGATGGCTATGAGTGCAGCCCCATCGACCCCTGTCGGGCAGGCAACGGTGGCTGTCATGGCCTGGTGAGAGGGTCAAGGGCTCAGAGCCCTGGGGAGGCTCTCTGGGTTGGGTCTGGCTGCAACTCACTTCCTCTCAGTATATCTGCCTACTGTCAGGATCAGGTTTTTTCTAAACCTCAAATCACCCTTTTTGCCCAGTCACAGGATAAAACCTTCATATTTCCCTATCAAGCCACATGCCCCGCCCTGCCTCCTCTTTCTGTGCCATCTTGTTCCCTGTTCCTCGGACCATCCAAGCTCCTCACTGTTCCCTGACCTTGTTCTGCCCCACACTATGACGATCCTGTGGCTTGGCTAGCTCCTCCTGCTCTCAGCCAGGGCACTCCCTAGCCCTGGTCTCCCTACCCGCCCCACCCACAGTCATCACAAGCAGGGTCATTCTTATGTCAAATGCTCAGTAATCTTGAGAATAGGGCTAGATCCACTCCTGGTGCTCCATGTGCTCAGACAGGATGGCTGGAGAAGGAGATGGTGGTGCCAGGTGGCTAGACAGGCAGAGAGGAGATGGATGATAAGGACAAACAGAGAATCCAGTGCAGTGGCACACGCCTGTAATCCCAGTGGCTCAGGAGGCTGGCGAGTTCAAAGACAGCCTTGGCAATTTAGGAAGGCCTTAAGCAACTCAGTGAGACCTTAAATAAAAAATAAAAAGGACTACAAATGTGACTCAGTGGTTAAGTGCCCCTGGGTTCAATCCCTGGTACCAAAAAAAAAAAAAAAAAAAAGGCAGGGGTTGGGTGGTGTCCAGCCTGCCTTCTGAGTACTAAATGGAGGGTTTGTCTCTCTGTCCCCCATCCCCACCAGGCCACCTGCCAGGCAGTGGGGGGAGGTCAGCGGATCTGCAAATGCCCCCCTGGGTTTGGAGGTGATGGTCTTAGTTGTTATGGAGACATCATCCGGGTAGGTGATGCACAGATTCATTTTTCTCTTCCCCCTGGACCTGGGGTGGGAAAGGGGTGGTGCTCAGGGCCCTTTGTTGGGGGGAGACTTGGATTTGCCCTCAGGTGCATAACCTGGGCCCTTTCCCTTCCCTTAGGAACTCCAGGCCAACGCCCACTTCTCCGCCTTCTCCCAGTGGTTCCAGGTAGTATGCTGGGTTGGGGCTCAAATCCAGTAGGCTTCCTAGATGTCACCCAACATCACCAAGTGGCAGGTGGTGTAGGTAAGTCTCTAGATGCTGATGCTTCCATCACCCCCATCCCCTCACTGTGTGCAGAATGCCAGCATCACTCTTCCTGCCAACGGCCAAGTCACAGCCCTGGTGCCCTCTGAGTCCGCCATCCGTAGGCTGAACCCTGAGGACCGGGCCTTCTGGCTGCAGCCGAAGATGCTACCACACCTAGTCAGGTAGGGCAGCCACAGCTGGGCCAGGCCACAGGAGGGTCCTTCTGTGTGGGTCTCCCAGGAGAGGTGGAGGAGAACTGGGTTTTTGGCCTGGCATGTGTCCACCTGTTGGGAGGGACCCCGTTCCAAGGATCTCTATATGTCATACTAATCAAGCTTTATGTCCCTCCTAACTATGCCTTCCTCAGGGCCCATTTTCTCCAGGGTGCTCTCTCTGAGGAGGAGCTAGCCCGGCTGGACAGACAAAATGTGACCACCTTGGACCCTACCACACGCTGGGAGATTCGCAACATCAGTGGGGTATGAGATGAACCCTGGCAGAAGAGGTGACAAGGCAGGCCATGGGAGGGAGCTTGAGTGGTCACAGGCTCCCCCAGACCAGCACACTCGGGGAATGAGACTGAGATTGGGTCCCCTTCCCCTTCTCAGAGCTGGGCTCAGAGGATGTGCTCAGGACACCTTGCAGTGTGTTTGGGGGCCAGCAGTGATTACCCTGTGAGGGGCTGCCTGTCTGTGCCTGTGCCATATTCCTGTCCCTCTCATCATGGGCCGTAGTGGGGGGTCTGTGCACCCACTGCTAGAGCTTGCATTGAGGGTCGCAGGCCAGACGGGGGTGCTTGGCACTGAGCTCTGCCTGCTGCCTTCTAGAGGGTCTGGGTGCAGAACGCCAGCGTGGATGTAGCTGACCTCCTCGCCACCAATGGTGTCCTACACATCCTCAGCCAGGTATAGCAGGAGGAGCATGTGTGCGGAAGGCCTCCCAGGCAAGCCACAGAGCAACAACACTAACCAGCCCCTCGTGCTCTACCCCAGGTCTTGTTGCCTTCCCGAGCTGATGTGCAAGGTGGGCAGGGGTTGCTTCAGCAGTTGGACCTAGTACCTGCCTTCCGCCTCTTTCGGGAGCTTCTGCAGGTAGGGGAGGCCAGCATTGGGGCTGCCTGCTCAGGGGCACCTTACCCAGGTCTGGAGGGGGTGGGCTGGCTCCCAGCATCAGGACTGAAGACTAATGTGCCTATCCCTGTCCCCTGGCCCTAGCGCCATGGCTTGGTGCCCCAGATCGAGGCTGCCACTGCCTACACCATCTTTGTGCCCACAAATGGCTCCCTGGAGGCCCAGAGCAATGGCAGCAGCTTGGTGAGGCGTGGGGATGGGGTGACTGAAGGCGGAGGGTGAGGGCACAGAGGGCAAGCTTCCCATGCCACAGCAGAGGGACACAGTGGGAACAGCATGATGTCCAGGAGGCTCCAGAGTCCCAAACCCCCTGAGCTCATGCCTTCTCCCACCCCAGAATGCAGACACAGTGCGACACCATGTGATCCTGGGGGAAGCACTCTCTGTGGAAGCCCTGCGGAAGGGGGGACACCGCAACTCCCTCCTGGGCCCTGCCCACTGGCTTGTCTTCTACAACCACAGTGGCCAGGTTTGAGGGGCAATGGGCAAGGAGACCCTTCTTGGGGACTCTACTCTTGAAGACTGCTTCTCTCTGGAGTTGCTCCTACTAGGAGCCCCCTTCCTCTGCTCCAGGGAGATTTCCCCCATCCTTGGAGGTGCTCCCCTCTCCTTGGAATGTGTCATGGCTTTATAAGCCCCCAGCATGAGGATGGTGGGGTAGGTGGATTCAAATTCTTGTCCCACTTCTCAGCCTGAGGTGAACCACGTGCCGCTGGAAGGCCCTTTGCTGGAGGCCCCTGGCAGTTCGCTGTTTGGCCTGTCTGGCGTCCTGACAGTGGGCTCAAGCCGCTGTCTACACAGCCATGCAGAGGCCCTGAGGGTGAGAGGCTGGGGCCAGAGGAGGGCAGTGGGAGGACATTAAGAGTAGGGGGTGAATGGGTACAGTGGCTCACACCTGTAATCCCAGTTACTTGGGAGGCTGAGGCAGGAGGATCCCAAGTTGGAGTCCAACTTGGGAAACATAGTGAGACTTGCTGTAGCTCAGGGGTAGAGCATCCCTGGATTTAGTCCCTGGTACTGCAAGAAATGAAAAATTGGCCTGGCTGACAGGGAGGGACACTTGGTCAGCTGGCCCTGGAGGAAAGGTGGTACATTTGGGGGTCCCACTCTGGACCAACTGACACCCCACTCTTCCTCCCTGCAGGAGAAATGCATAAACTGTACCGGGAAGTTCCGCTGTACTCGGGGCTTCCAGCTGCAGGTGGGATGGGCTTGGCGCAGCTCTGCCCCTGCTTTGTTGTCCTCAGCCCATGTGTGGGGACCTGGATTGACAGCAGCCAGCCTTCCTGGTGGAAGCCCTGTGGCCCAGCCTGGCCTGCTGGGCAGCCTTGTGCAGTCCTGCTTCTTGAGGCCTCAATCCTGTGGCCCCACCCCTCCCCACCCCATATCTATCTCCTTGGTCCCTTTTGCTTCTTCTACTCCCCTGCTGGGCTGTCTGTCTCACCTACTCAGATCCCTGAAATCCAATTATCTGTTTCCTCATTCACTGTCCTCACCCCTCCTGCCTGTCCCCACTTTCAGGACACACCCAGGAAGAGCTGTGTCTACAGATCAGGCTTCTCCTTCTCCCGGGGCTGTTCTTACACATGTGTCAAGAAGATTCAGGTTTGTCCTGAAGTTCCCCCCACCCCAAGCCTTTGGACAGTGGGAACGGGGACCCAGGGGAGAAACCAGGGACTGGATTTCAAGAGCAGAGGCAGAAGCCAGGCATGGTGGTGCTGCTCAGGAGGCCGAGGCAGGAGGATGGCAAGTTCAAAGCCAGCCTCAGCAAGTTAATGAGACCCTGTCTCTAAATAAAATATAAAAAGGGCTGGGGATGTGGCTCAGTAGTTAAAAGCCACAGGTTCAGTCTCTGGTACCACAAAAAGAAAAGAAAAGAAAAAAAAAGGGCTGGGTCTAGGATGAGGCCCTTGAAGCAAGAGTGACTTGAGGAAAGGAAAGGGAGAGATGTCCAAAGTCAGAGGCTAGTGTTTATTACTGCGTCCATCTTTCTGAGGTATGGAGATGGGGAGAGGGAGAAAGAGGCTCAACCCTGAGCTGCCCCTGCCAACCCCACCCTAGCAGAGGCAGGGCTTCGCTTCTCATTGTGGGACCCAGGTGCAGTCCTCCCCTGCTTGAATCTCCATCCTGCCCCCGCCAGGGGGTGCTGTAGAAGAAGCTCTCATGCCCCTTTCAGCTCTGATCTGCCCACAACCCAGTCTTTGGTCCCAGTTGCTGTACTGTGTGGGCCTGTGGCCCCAACATGCCCCCCCACCTTTCCCTTCCCCATGACATCTGGCCTGTACTCGCCATCTCCCTCCCTCCCTCCTACCTCCCTCCCCATTTCCTTCCTGTTCCCTGACCCTTGCAGGTGCCCGACTGCTGCCCCGGCTTCTTTGGGACACTGTGCGAGCCATGCCCAGGGGGTCTGGGTGGTGTGTGCTCAGGCCACGGGCAGTGCCAGGACAGGCTCCTGGGCAATGGGGAGTGCCGCTGTCACGAGGGCTTCCACGGAACCGCCTGCGAGATGTGCGAGCTGGGCCGCTACGGGCCCTCCTGCACTGGAGGTGAGGATGGGAGGGGCAGGGTGCTGGGCACCTGGGAGAGGAGAGTGGGTTGGGGACCCTGGCAGGAGCAGGATGGAGACACCGGATAACTCCTGTCCTCTCTCATCCCTCTCCTAGTGTGTGACTGTGCCCACGGGATGTGCCAGGAGGGGCTGCAAGGGGACGGAAGCTGTGTCTGTAATGTGGGCTGGCAAGGCCTCCGCTGCGACCAGAGTGAGTGGGTCCCCAAGGGGTGTAGGGACATTGGAGAGGCAGTTCCTGTCTGAATGACCAGAACCTTCCTCCTGCCCCCAGAAATTGTTGGCCCTCAGTGCCCCAAGAAGTGCGATCCCAACGCCAAGTGAGTTACCTAACCTGGGACAGGGGGTGAGGGGGTGGGAATTGGGTCGGAGCAGGGGCTGGGCAGAGGCTGAGCCATGGCCACCTCTCCCAGCTGCATACAGAACTCCACTGGATCCCCGACCTGCGTCTGCGCTGCGGGCTACTCGGGCAATGGCAGCTATTGCTCAGGTCCAGCCACATGTGTGCCCTGGGCCCCTCTCTGAAATGCTGGGGGTGGTGGTCCCCACAGAGCCCCCTGCCATCACTGTCCCATCTCAGATCTTACCCGTCTGACATTTTTCTTTTCTCCTGCTCCACCCCTGTCCCATGCCTGCTCCTCTCAACCTTCTGGAACCATCTACCCCTAGAGGTGGACCCCTGTGCCAATGGCCATGGGGGCTGCTCCCCCCACGCCAACTGCACCAAGGTGGCACCTGGGCAGCGGACGTGCACCTGCCAGGATGGCTACACAGGCGACGGGGAGCTGTGTCAGGGTGAGGCTGAGACTCCCAACCTGCATGCTTGTGGGGCCAGGGCTCTGAAGTCAGCAGTTTGAGGCCAACTAGGAAGAATTGAAGGGCATGCACTGTGTGGGATCCAGAGAGGCAAGGAGCTGAGCACCTGATGGACAGATGAAGGAGGGGTCAGCACCACCCCTCATTCCAGTGTCTTTTCCCCTAGAAATTAACAGCTGTCTTATCCGCAATGGGGGCTGTCACATTCATGCCGAATGCATCCCCACAGGTCCCCAGCAGGTCAGCATGCTGGGCGGGGCCTGGGCTGTGCATTCCCCCATAAGGCCTGGGGAGGGGGTGACCCTTTCATCCAGGGCACAGGCCAGCTCTTGCCCCCAGGCAGCCTCACTGATCAGGCTTTGGGACAGGTCTCCTGCAGCTGTCGCGAGGGTTACAGTGGAGATGGCATCCGGACCTGTGATCTTCTGGACCCCTGCTCCCAGGTCAGGCTCCATGTTAACACATTTCACAGGGAGAAGAGGGGTCTGAGACAGAAAGCAGTCCTCCTCACACCCAGAAGGGTCCCCCGAGTCTCTGTAGGGTGGATCACCTTTCCCCAAGCTCCAATTTGGCTCATTGGTTGGAAATAGGGCTTTGGGAATTGGACAGGGAACTTCATGGCCTCTTCTCTAGAGCTGTGGGTGACTGAGGAGTCTAGGAAGACACTGATGCCTCCCTTTCCTATTCCTGCCACAGAACAATGGAGGCTGCAGCCCTTATGCCACATGCAAAAGCACAGGCGATGGCCAGAGGACATGCACCTGTAACAGAATCCACACTGTGGGAGATGGCTTCACCTGCCGTGCCCGCCTCGGCCTGGTAATGATGCTCAAATCTGACCTTGACCTTATCTTGACATGCCCCATGGACCTGAAATACAATCTTGGCTTAGACCCTGGATTGGATCCTAATCATGGCCTTGACCAGACCCTGTCCCTGCCCCTGTCTTCTCTTGGGTCTCGTCTCAGCTATGACACATGAAACTGATTCTGACCCCAGCTCAGATCCCACTCCCCTGGCTTTCCTTTCATTTCTGCCTTGGCCAGACCTTGGGCTGCAGGTGCTGGGGCAGGCACCAGGCCCTGAATGGGGGCCACCCTAAATCTGAACTGATCCTCGCTCCCTCAGGAGCTCTTTCGGGACAAGCATGCCTCATTCTTCAGCCGCCATCTCCTGGTGAGTAACCAGCTTGGGCCTCTGTGACCTGCAGGTACCACCTGTCTCTGGGCTTCAATGTTCCCATGTGGTCAGGGATTTAGTTGGTCTGGCCTCTCAGAGGTCAAGTCTCCCACGAGATTTGTGGAAGCCCCAGATTGGTCCCAAGTTGCTACTCTTCCATTCAAGCTGCCCTCCCCCTCCACCTCCCCAGGAATACACGGAGCTCAAGGGAAACGGGCCTTTCACAGTCTTCGTTCCACAAGCAGATCTAATGACCAACCTGTCGCAAGTATGCTGGCCCAGGAGTGAGTCCAGGGAGGGATGAGTACTAGGTGGGCAGAGGTGGGAATACGGCTCCTCCCACCCTCCCGACTCTATTCTAGAATGAGCTGGCTCGGATTCGTGCAAATCGCCAGCTTGTGTTCCGCTACCACGTGGTTGGCTGCCAGCAGCTTCACACCCAGGAGCTGCTGGACCAGGGCTATGCCACAGCACTCTCTGGGCACACCCTGCGCTTCAGCGAGAGGGAGGTGAGCCCCATTTCATCCCTCCCCCTACAGGGTTGACCCCTAGGTTCAAGATTGGCCCCTTTCAAGCCAGGGCCTATGCCCTGATGCCCTTTGCTTAACACCCAGCCAGTGGGCACTTCAAAGAGAGGGAGATTAGCCCAGCCCAGTTCTTGCCCACACTCTCCCATGAGCCTGTTTTCAGCCCCAGTACTTTGGATCCTAACAGGGCTTAGTGCTGCTCTTCCACTCCAAATGTCTTTGGCATTTGCCTCTAAGGGTCTGGAGCCCAGCACCCGGCCTTGACTCCACCCCTAGCCCCGCCCACCTTCGGCCTCAGTCCCAAACCCAAGACTCAGCGGGGGACTTGCCCCACCCCCAGCTCCAGAGCACCCTGTTAACCCCAGGCCCGCCCCCATGCAATCTGCCCCACCCCCAGGGCAGCGTATACCTCAACGACTTCGCGCGTGTAGTAAGCAGCGACCACGAAGCAGTGAACGGCATCCTGCACTTCATCGACCGCGTGCTGCTTCCGCCAGAAGTACTACACTGGGAGCCTGATGCCACCCCGATCCCGAGCCCTCTGGTAGGCCTGAGCGCCAGGCTGGGACCTGGAAGACTCAGAGGCAGGGGTGGGGGGCTGGGGGAGTGGCTGGGATCCTTGCATCCTCCTGACCAGCTGCTCATGAGCGCCTTTCTGCAGAGAAATGTCACCGACGCTGCTGAGAGCTTTGGTTACAAGATCTTCAGCCACCTTATGACGGTACTTCATGTGTGTGCGTGCCTGTCAATGTGTGTATGTGTGCAACAGTGTGTGCGCTTCCCTTCCCCTAAGAAGGACAAGGGCTGCTAGAAGTGCCTTGTGCACAGAACACACCTGTGTGCAGGGGCTTTCCAGTACGGACCCATCTGTGCTTGTGAGCCTGCAGACTTGAGAAGTGTGCACACTCAGGGTGCCTGCAAGTGTGACTACATGTAGTAGTGTCCCCGTTTGTGGTTTCACTTTGGGCATTTTCAGTTGACTATGGGCAAATGCAGTCTAAAAATATTAAATGGAAAAATCTCAGAAATAAAAATTCAAGTTTTTTGATTGTTTGGTACTAGGGTTTGAACCTAGGGGCATTTAGCCACTGATCCACATCCCCAGTCCTTTGTTGTATTTTATTTAGAGATGGGGTCTCACAGAGTTGCTTAGCACCTCGCTGAGTTGCTGAGACTGGCTTTGAACTCAAGATCCTCCTGCCTCAGCCTCCTGAGCCGCCAGGATTACAGGGGTGCACCACCACACCCAGAACAACTCACAAATTTTAAAGAACTTATTACAGTGTAACAATTATTCTATTGCTAATGTCTTACTGAGGCTAGTTTACAAATTAAACTATCTCATATGTTTAGGAAAAAGCAATGTACATAGGATTCTGTACAATCCCCGATTTCAGGCATCGACTGGGGTCTTGGACTCTCAACCTGGGATGGCTGCAGCCTAGGGTGGCTAGTGGGAAGGCTACCTGGCCTGGGTCTCTGGAACCCATTCCTAGTCTTTGTGATCTAGCCCCCTGTCTCTACCTCTACCAGTCTGTGGCAGCCACACTTCTGCTCTGACTCACCAGGTAGCTGGCCTCCTGCCCATGCTTCGAGATGTGTCCCACAGGCCCCTCACAATGCTGTGGCCCACAGATTCTGCCCTGCAAGCCCTGCCTCCTGATCGGCAGGCCTGGTTATACCATGAGGACCACCGTGATAAGTTGGCAGCTATTCTGCGGGGCCATGTGATCCGCAATGTTGAGGTGGGTACAGCTTCAGAGCTCAGTTCCCACTGCTGCAGCTCATCCTGCCTGCCCAGCTTCAACTGTGGCTCCATTTGTCCAGGCCTTGGCATCTGACATGCCCAACCTTGGTTCACTCCGAACCATGCATGGGACCCCCATCTCCTTCTCCTGCAGTCGTGCTCGGCCTGTGAGTCTGGGAAGGGGATTTGGATGGGGGAAGCAGGAGGGACCGAGGGGTTGCAGTACCCCTGTGATGTCCATGTGCTCCACATCCTCCCCCTGCAGGGTGAGCTCATGGTGGGTGAGGATGATGCCCGCATTGTGCAGCGGCATATGCCCTTTGAAGGTGGCCTGGCCTATGGCATTGACCAGCTACTAGAGCCACCTGGTCTTGGTGCCCGCTGTGATCGCTTTGAAACCCGGCCACTACGACTGGTGAGGGATGCCACAGACCAGAGGTGGATGGGCAGGGGCTCAGGCCTACCTGTTTTGTGTATCCACCTCACCTGTGGTATTGGCCTTCATCCCTTCCAGAAGACTTGCAGCATCTGTGGCCTGGAGCCACCCTGTCCTGAGGGCTCGAGGGAGCAGGTAAGGGGCTAAGGGCCAATTGGGGAATGGGCAGGGAACAGGGACCACTAAGTTCAGACTGTCTGTGGCCCGACTCTTCTTGGCCCAGGGCAGCCCTGAGACCTGCTGGCGCTACTACGCAAAATTATGGTCGAGCCCTTCCCTGCATTCCCTGGCACTTGGCAACATCTGGGTGCGGCCCAGCTTCTGGAGCCATCCCCAAGGCAAGAGCAGGGGCTGCCACCGCAACTGTGTCACCACCACGTGGGTACCCAGCTGTTGCCCTGGTCACTATGGCAGCGAGTGCCAAGGTATGTGCCTTGAGCTTATAGACACTGGTCTGGCTCCTCCAGCCCTTGAGAGAGCCAAGGGCAAGACTCTGGTCACTATCCCTGGGAAGGTTATTGCTGTGCTCCAGGGTAGGGGAGGTCTGGATCCCAAGAGATTTCACTAGAGGGAATGCTCAAAGAGGTGGCATGAGCAGGGCCTGGTGGCCCACACCCACAATCCTAGCAGCTCAGGAGGCTGAGGCAGGAAGATTGGGAGTTCAAAGCCAGCTTCAGCAAGACCTTGTCTCAAAATATAAAAAGGGCTGTGGATGTGGCTCAGTGGTTAAGTGCCCTGAGTCCAATCCTGAGTACCAAAAACAAACAAACAAACAAACAAAAAAAGTGGGGGTGGTGTGTAGAGGGCACAGGACCTGGTGGGGAGTGTTAAAGGGTCTGGATGTTCTCCAGGCACCTAGAAGGTTTGCAGCAGTGTGGGGATGTGAGTGGATTGGTGTTGATGAGTCTTGGTTGCTACAGGGTGGGGGACAGATGGTAGGGCTGGGCTGCATGGGTGAGTGCTCTGATGAGAGCCCTTGGACTCACCACTCTTCTCCCACCCCTTCCTCTAGCTTGTCCCGGCAGCCCCAGAAGCCCCTGTAATGGTCATGGCGTGTGCCTAGACGGCATGAGTGGCAGTGGGCGGTGTAGATGCCATTCAGGTTTTACAGGGACAGCCTGTGAACTGTGCACCCCGGGTTTTTTTGGACCCCAATGCCAAGGTGGGCCATCCCTGCTCTGCCCTGCCCTGCCCTGATCCCTTGGCCAGTGTGCCAACCTTCATCATCCTGCTTGTTCCTCTCTCCAGCCTGCAGCTGCACCTCCCATGGCCGCTGTGATGAGGGCCTGGGAGGCTCTGGCTCCTGCTTCTGTGATGAAGGCTGGACTGGGCCACACTGTGAGGTGCAGCTGGGTGAGTGGCCCTCATGCTTGTGTCTCCCTGCACTTGTACCCACCTGCACACACAGGTGCATATGGCAACTGCACACTCAGGTGGAGGCACTGAAGATGGGTGGGACAGGTGGAGGCCAAGAGGGCAGCTACTGACCTGGTCATATGGGGATGGGCCCTGGGGGACAGAGCTGCAGCCTGTGTGTACTCCACCCTGTGCATCCCAGGCCATGTGCCGTGCGGGCAACAGCTGTGAGTGCAGTCTAGGCTATGAAGGCGACGGCCGTGTGTGCACAGGTAAGCAGCTGGCTGAGGAGGTGCAGGGGGGATGTCCCCATTACCCCCAGGCACCTGGTTCAACTCCTTTCTCCCTGCCTCCCAGTGGCAGACCTGTGCCAGGATGGGCATGGTGGCTGCAATGAACATGCCAACTGCAGCCAGGTGGGCACAGTGGTCACCTGTGTCTGCCTGCCCGACTATGAGGGTGATGGTTGGAGCTGTCGGGCCCGCAATCCCTGTGCAGATGGCCACCGTGGAGGCTGCAGTGAGCATGCCGACTGTCTCAACACTGGCCCAGTAAGCAGGGGTGGGAGCCAAGAAATCGGGGGCAGAGGCCCCACTGTTCACTCCCACCGTCTCTGAAGGACATCTATGTTGTCTAACCCCAGAACACACGTCGCTGTGAGTGCCATGCAGGCTATGTGGGCGACGGACTGCAGTGTCTGGAGGAAGCTGCGCCGCCTGTGGACCGCTGTTTGGGTCACCCGTCACCCTGCCACACAGATGCTGTGTGCACTGACCTACATTTTCAGGGTGTGTCCCACTGCCCTCCTCCTAGCACCCTGCTTTATCCCTGAGCTGGAGCCAGCTGACCATGCACCTTCCCTCTTGCAGAAAAGCAGGCAGGTGTCTTCCACCTCCAGGCCACCAGCGGCCCTTATGGCCTGAACTTCTCAGAGGCTGAGGCAGCCTGTGGGGACCAGGGAGCTGTCCTTGCTTCTCTCTCTCAACTCTCTGCTGCCCAGCAGGTATGTGGGGCTCAGGGGTTGGAGCTAAGCCTGAGGGCCCAAGTTGGGTCTTGGGTCTTAGCGTCCCCTCCTGCCGCTACAGTTGGGCTTCCACCTGTGTCTTATGGGCTGGCTGGCCAATGGCTCTGCTGCCCACCCTGTCGTCTTCCCTGCCGCCGACTGTGGTGATGGTCGGGTGGGTGTAGTCAGCCTAGGCGTCCGCAAGAACCTCTCAGAGCGCTGGGATGCCTACTGCTACCGTGAGCAAGGTACACCCACCCCAAGCCCCGCGCCCTGCTCTGCCCCTTCCTGCCCATCCACGGAGCCACTGACCTGCCTTTCTTGCAGATGTGTCTTGCCAATGTAAGGCCGGCTTTGTAGGTGATGGGATTAGCATATGCAATGGGAAGCTGCTTGATGTCCTGGCTGCCACTGCCAACTTCTCCACCTTCTACGGGGTGTGCAGGGGGCCAGCCTCAGGGGTGTGGGCAGTTGGGATCCCTGTGGAAGGAGCCTGCCTATAGCCAACTTCCCACCCTCCCAGATGCTACTGAGCTATGCCAATGCCACCCAGAAGGGTTTTGACTTCCTGCGCTTCCTGGATGATGAGCTCACCTATAAGACACTCTTCGTCCCTGTCAACGAAGGTTTTGTGGACAACATGGTAAGAGCAGGTCCCTGTGCACAGCACAGGCTGTTTGCTCCCTGTGGCTGGCACAGCCCAATAGGTCTTGCTCTGTCTACAGACACTGAGTGGTCCAGACCTGGAGCTGCATGCTTCCAATGCCACCTTCCTGAGCACCAATGCCAGCCAGAGGACCCTGCTCCCTGCCCACTCGGGCGTCAGCCTCGTCATTAGTGACACAGGCCCTGGCAACAATTCTTGGGCCCCTGTGGTGAGTCTGGCCCCTACCATGCTGGATCCAACCCTCACTCACCTGCGAGGCTTGACTCTGGTCTCCCTGCAGGCCCCAGGGGCAGTTTTGGTTGGCCGTGTCATCATATGGGACATCATGGCCTTCAATGGCATCATCCATGCTCTGGCCAGCCCCCTTCTAGCACCCCCTCAGCCTGTGAGTACCAGGAAGGGGAGGGCGGAGCTGCAAGGATGGCACAGCTTTGGCCCAGTCCTTGATGCTCTCCTTGGTTGCAGGGAGCAGTGCTGGCACCAGAAGCCCCACCGGTGGCAGCGGGTGTCGGGGCAGTGGTTGCTGCTGGAACACTGATCAGCCTGGTGGCCGGCGTGCTCTACCTCCGTGCTCGGGGCAAGCCCACAGGCTTTGGCTTCTCTGCTTTCCAGGTAAGGCTGGGGGCTGCCGTGGCAGTGTCCTTTGGTCTTGTTCCATCACTTACCTCTCATCTCCCAGGCAGAAGATGATGCTGGTGACGACTTCTCCCCATGGCAAGAAGTGAACAGCCCCACCCTGGTGTCTGTCCCCAACCCTGTGTTTGGCAATCATGATGCCTTTTGTGAGCCCTTTGATGTGAGTGGAGGGAGGGAGGGGGCCATGGAAGTGGGCTTGGGGCCTAGTCTTGGCAGCCACCAGACAGCCTCCCTCTCTCAGGATTCGCTCCTGGAAGATGACTTCCCCGACACCCAGAGGATCCTGGCAGTCAAGTGAAAGGCCGAGATGGGCACGCGGAGGCAGGAGGCACCTTTATTGCTTGTCTGGCTGGATGCCCAGAGTGGATGGGACTGGGAGGATTAGGGGTCTGTCCTGCAATAAAAATGCCCTCAGCGGATGTGGGCCATGTCACCTAGGAAGGGTGTTTTCATGCATCCAGTGCAAAGCTGGTCCATCCAGAGCGGTGCCTCGTGCTGCAGAGGTGTGCGGCGGGGGTAGAAGGTGAAGTCCACACGGTAGTTGAGCAGGCAGCTCAGGGAGGCCATGTAGAGGTCGGAGAAGCGCACAAGGCGCCTGGAGAAGTAGGTGGGGTTGTGGAAGGTGCGGAAGATGCTCCCAAACTGAGCATTGAATAGGGCCTTGGTAATGCACCTGGGGGGGAGGGGAGAACTTGACGGGTGGGCATCAGCTATGCCAGGCCAGCCAGCCCCAGCCCCGGCCCCGCCCTGCTCACCTTAGCTCTTGCCGCTCCTTCATCCAGGCGGCCAGCACCTGCCGAGACTCTGCATCCTGGTAGGTCTGGGACAGACAATATGATGTGGGTGCCCAGGAAGCTGCAACCTGGCCCTCCCAGGGGCCACCTGGGCTGCCCATGCACCTGCATGCGCTCTAGCAGCCCCGTGAGCGCCTGCTGCCAGGTCAGCGAGTGCATGTACTGCTCGGTGTTGATGATGCGGATCTCGCGCTCCAGCTCAGGGATGATGGCGCCCGTGCGCCAGCCGTGCCGCAGCATGAGATCCTGGGGTTGGGCAGTGGGACTGGCCTCAGTGCCAGCTAGGAGGACTCCCCCGCCCCCTGGGACGCAGCCCTGCCCCCCTCACCGCTAGGTCACTGTAGAGGTGGTCTCCAAAGTAGAGCACGCGGGGGCCACGCCATTCCGTCAGGCGCAGGAAGTCAAACAGGTTTCCCTGGGCGGGGTGCAGAGGGACGCTGCTGAGCCAACGTTGCTCCCCTGGGCTGCCAGCACCAGGTCTTGTCCCCCAGCAGCCCTCTCAAATCCCCAGAGGCAGCCAAGTCCAGCCGGATACAGGGCTGCCCTTTCCCGCGGCCTCGCAGTACTGCAGGAGGGTCGGCCTGCCCCAGGAAGGGCTCCCATAGGCCTGGCACAGTGCCCCAGGCCGCAAGGGCCTCCCTCTCTGTGGCCTCTCACCCACCCCGGCTAAGGATCAAGCCCTTGTTTGTGAGAAAAGAACCACAGGGAAGGACCCACGCCCTAAAGCAAAGGATTCTAGAGTCTTTGCTGGCGGCCTCAGCCCAGAGGGACCCAGTGGACCAATGGCAGAGCTCACTGGCAGGCCATCTGCTTTGCCTGCTCCAAAGCTGGGGAAAGTTGGAAACAGCCAGGCCCCAAACTAGGGAAGAAGCTCCAGGGGAGGCAGAAACAGAGGGGCCAGAGTTGGTGCCACCTGGGGCAGAAGCTCACACCCAGGAGGTCTGCATCCATGGACCTCAGAGGGGTGGGCAGTGGGGGGGACAGGTGGTCATGGAGGAACTTAATTGGACCTACTGAAGAAGACACACGAGCAGGAGATCACTGAGGACGTGCCTCTGGACCAAGAGAGAATCTTGAGGGGCAGGAGATGAAGAGGAGGCAGAGAAAAGGGGCTGAGGGCGAGGACCAAGCATCCAATGTACACAGCATTAGGAAACCTCAGAATGTCAGGCACAAAGAAATGCCTTGGCCCGGTGCAGTGGCGCAGACCTGTAATCGCAGCAGCTTAGGAGGATCGAGAGTTCAAAGCCAGCCTTAGCAAAAGCGAGGTGCTAAGCAACTTAGTGAGACCCTGACTCCAAGTAAAATACAAAATAGGGCTGGAGAGTGGCTCAGTGGTCAAGTGCCCCTGAATTCAATCCCCAGTAACCCTCTCTTGCCTCTGAAAAAAGATATGTCTGGTAGCCACACAGGTGCTTGTCCTCCTAGGTCACAGCCAGATGCAGGACATGGTACAGCCTCACCCTTAAAGCTGAGGGGATAAGCCCGATGGGTCAGGGAGAGCTGGGGTGGAGGAGGGCAGGAAGCTGAACAGTACACAAGCGTGCAAGTCCAGCCTGTAGGCCAGGCCCCAGCAACTCAACACTGCTCCCCTGGCCGACTGCCGGCTTCATCACAGCCCTTGGAACCCCCACTCCTAAGAGGACCAGCTCAGCCAGGATTTCCACATTCCAGCCAGGGCCAAATGCCTTAATCACCTCCTGCTCAGGCATCCAATACCCCATCCTGGCTGCTCTTTTCTTTCTGTTCAGATAGGAAGGGGGTCTCCCCAGATTTCTTATGAGCTGCCTCCACTGGCCAGGCTCAGGGGCTCCCACCAGGCTGGTTCTGCCTGCAGCAGACAGCTCAGTCTCAACTAGTCACAGTGCCACTCATGGGGTACTTGGTGATCACAGGGCTTTGTGCCACATTCAAATACAGCATTACAATCTTTTAGAAATGAGGAAAGTAAGGCACAGAGGTGATGAGGCAAGTCTCCCTCGTGGCCGAGTGGAGCTGGAACTCAAACCCGGGCACCAGGACCCAGAGGCCAAGAGCTCCTTCCACACTGCCCAGCCCTGGCAGCCGCTGGCCACACCGAAGTGGCTGAGCTGCTCGGGGCTGTGTGCGTCTTCAGAGTCGGCCTCTGAACAGCTTGTGTCCTTGGTTAGAACCTGTCCCCTGCTCTCACACCAGCTGCTGCTCCGACCCCAGATGGTCCTCACCTGCCGGTAGATCTTTCCCTTTTCCAGGCGGGTGATCCGGTCCCAGTGGAGCGAGCCTGTCTCATCAAGTTTTCGGAAAGGCCTGGGGTGAGGGTGAAGGGCTTGATTTCCATCTGTGGTAGGGCCAGGGCTGGGTACCTCCCACTCTCCTCTCTGTAGACCCATCCACTCAGGCCACATGCAGGTAAGGAGGCATCCTCACCCCAAGGGCACTGAGTAAAGGCCAATCTAGCTTTGGGCCTCAGTCCCCTCATTGCGATGGGATCCCCCCACCTCTTCCCCTACTCTACTGCCCCCTGCTAGGCCCATACTTGCGCCGGTCAGTGAAAAAGCTGGGTTTGTCTGCCTGGACGATCACCACGTCGAAGAGCTGGCGCCAGTCGGGACCCACCATGTGCCGCATCCCCTTGTCCCTGTGCAGAGGTGGTGCGGCTGCAGGAGGTCTGAGGGTGGCACTGTGTCTGCCCCCCAACACCCCCACAGCGGGGCTGGACTCACACAAAGCTGAAAGGACTGTTGGTGATGAGGAACAGCTGTTTCCCATGGGCCACCAGGCGGCTCAGCACTGCGAACGTTTCGTCCCCTCTCAGGATGTACTTCTCTGAGGGGGAAGAAGGGTCTGTGAGGGCCTGGCCACCCTGCTCAAGCAGGCCAGCCAGGTTACCATTCACCCTTACCCATGTCTCGCTCAATCCACTGGTACATGAGGCCCTTCACGTGCACATCTCGAATAGCATCCTGGGGGGAGGGGGGACAGTGAGGGCACAGCGGGGGGCTGGGGAGAGCCTGCCCTGTTACAGCTGGACTTCACCTTCCTGCCACCTGAGGGGCAGGCCAGCATGCTCACCGTCACGTCCTTGTAGAGGTGTGTTTGGTCAAACTCCAGGCCATGGCTCAGGAAGTGGTCTACCACACAGGACAGCAGTGCCATCTCTGGCAGTGAGAAGATGTCCATGAACTGCTTGATGGAGGGGCCCTGGGGAGGGGACCACATCTCAGCTATTCCTCTGGCCCCCCACCTCCAGCATTGGAGACTAAGGCCTCCAAATCTGCCTCAGGTCTCTGGGAAAGGGCATGGTCTGTGGATGAAAGCTGGCCACTGGAGCTGGAATCTATAGTAAGCTCACCGACCTGGGCTGCTTTGGGTCACAGAAGGTGGAGGGAATACCTTGCCGTAGAAACCGCTCATCTGGTACAGTGGGATGTGCTGGGTGCCTCCATATAGGTCGATCACCTCCTCATCTGGCACAGGCTGGAGGCCCCTGAACCAGGGTACAGATACCATCACTCCAGGCCCAGGTGGCAGCACAGGGTAGGGGTGGGAAGAGGGCAGAGTCAGAACTAACCTGTAGGCTGTTCCCAACTGGACGTAATGGAAGGCATCAATCTTCATCAGAAGGCTCTGAGGGCACCCAGTGTGGGCAGGGGTGGGACCAGTGGTAAGAAGGTGGTTTTGCCATTGGACTTGGCCAGCCTCTTCTAAACCCCATGTCCAAGCCTCCATTGGATGGTACCAAGGAGATCAGGTACATTACCAAAAGGAAGTTGTAGCTTTGAGGTCAAGGGGGTGGACAGATACGGAGACCCTCCACTAAGAGCATGGCCAAGGAAGCAGGCTCAGGGCCCATTTACTCAGGAGGAACCAAGAGGTCAGCATCCAGCCACTCACCTTCTGAATGTCATAGTGGAGGCCACGGATGGCAAAGCTGGGGTTGTAGTCATACTTCCGAATCCCCTCTGGGTACTGGTGGGCAAACAAACATAGACCAGGCCTAAGCCCGTAGCACTGCCAGCCCTGTTGGCTGAGTGGCCACTTGGGGATCCATCCATCCATCCACCTGCCCAGGGAACCCAGGGAGCCCCATGATCCACCCTGGGGCTTAGGTCAAGGTGGGCTGTGCTGGCCTCCAGGGCCTGAGCAGGGGCTCCTGCCTGGCTAGTCTCACCTTGTAGTGCTCAATCAGGATGTCCCGAGCGGCATTGAAGATTTCAGGGTGCAGTGCGTCTGCATACTGGGCCAGTGTGTAGTCATAGTCAAAGCCATAGACCTCGACATCACGCAGGCTGATCTCATTGTTGGCATAAATGGCTGCTGGGTTCAGGAGGCTGCAGACCTCAGGAGGCAGGAGGTCTAGAGGAAGGAGACACAGGGAAATGACGATTGTGGCAGTGGCAAAAGGCTCCTGGGTACTTTTTGAGCACTCAGCCCCTTAAGCTTCATGAAACATTCCAGAGATGCCCAGTGATCCAGATGGTCAGACTGAGGCTCAGAGAGAAAGCAATTGCCCAGATCCTGTACTTGGGGTAAGGCAGCGTTCAGGTTTGGAGATGAGGTGTGCTCTATTAATGCAGCAATATTCAGAAGTGAAATGATCAGATTATGAGAGCTGTAACCTAATCAGTCCATGGTAACCGCAGACAGGCGGGGCGTGGCTGGAGGAGG